ACACACACAAACACACGTACTGTTTCAGATAAGTTTGCAAGCAGTACTGTTGATGCTCGCAGGATGTGACCCCCCGTCTCCGCTCTGAAACCTGCTCCTGGTCTCACAGATGACACTGAGATCATTCTTAAAACGCATCAACAACAACGCTCACACGTAGTTGTGCATGCAGATACACACACACACACACACCCGCACAGACACACACACACACACACACACACACACACACACACACACACACACACACACACACACAGATGATATTTTCCAGTTTGCTGACTTTTTTCTTTGGAGACAAAACGAGTTTATCTGCAGCTGAGCCTCATTTAGGGAGCGTTTGATCTAATATAATATAATGTAAGTTAATATTATCTAGTTTATTATAACATGATGTGTGTTTTATGACTGAGTTCTTAAACCTTCCGTCACCTTAACTTCAGTCTCTGTGTCTGTCAGATCTGGTCCATCTCACCTGTCAATCAGTTGGCTCCGCCTACGAGGACCTGTCGCCGGTAGTAACCAGGATGTTCCGCACGCCAGAGTCACATGACCGAGGTAGCACACACACACACAGAGTTCACGTGTGTGTCTGTTTGGATTCGTTCAAACTCAAAGCTTCGATGCTTTTGAGGCGTTGCTAAAATCGGCTGATAATTGAATGGACTTTGGTGCAGAGTCACTGCTCAGAGCACACGTCAGGAAAACCCATCAATACTGACCATCAGTGTCGGCCTGCTGCTGGATGAACAGAGCTCTGAATGGTTCCAGAACCAGAGCCAGAACGCTGCGCGACTCTGTATCCTGGTAACTTTGTCTCCTCTCCGACCTCCTGCTGCTCCTCCTCTCATCCATCATCTTCTTCGGTGGTTTTAATTACAGCAGAACACGGTGAGGATGGATGATGCAGGTGCAGAGATTCATCACAGGCGACGAAGGAGGCGGAGTCACGCGTCTCTGTTCTGATCCGGATCAATCTGCTCATTATTCTCATTATTTACACGTTGCACTTTATTCTTTGGTTCAAACACTTTCTGGAGCTTCTGAACTGAACTTCTCAGAATAATGAAACCATAAAAAAACCATAAAAAAAACATAAAACCCATAAAACCCGAGGTGAGAAGTGACGCGCATGAGGAGCAGCTCTGGGTTTAATAACGACCAACAACAGTCCAAACCTTCAGGTTCTCTGGGCTAACGGGTCGATGCTCATCTTCTTAGAGCTGAAGTTCAGGTTCATTCAGCCTTTGTTGCTTCTTAATAAAGGAGTTTTAATAACTGCTGACGCGACTCTTTCCATCGTTGAACCTTCTTTTGCTCCTCGTTCTTTCAGGCTGAGCTCTGATCATCTCGTCCAGTCAGCAGTGGGACCAGCTTCAGTCTCATGATGGATCATAAGAAAGTTCCTCTGAACTGTGACGACGTCCAGTTTGTTTCCTTCATTCACGGTTAAACGTGGATTAAAACAGCTGGAACCTGAGTTCTAATGAAAAGCTGTGAGCTTTACACTGACCCACCGGAGCAGCTCCAGACACCACGATGTCACATGTACCAGATGTTTACAGGTTTATTTATTTAAATCACGTGAACATGATGAAACCACAGAAAGTGAAATCACTCTAAAGCTGTTCTGAGTCAGACTTTTCTCAACATCGTTGGTTAATGATAATAAAATCAGAACAGCCAAACGGAGCATCTTTACCAGAAGCTGATCAGTATCAGAGATCACTGACGTTCTCAGACGTTCTCATCCTCGGGAACCATCAGAGAACAAGTCACACGTTCTTCAGCGTCTTTATTTCTGAGATCAGAAAGTTAAACTGAAGCCGTCTGTCTGCAGAAAACTGTCCGTCCGTCCTCTGGTGTCTCTACTTCAACATGGCTGACGGTTCGGGGGCGGAGCCTGAAGACCACGACCTCCCGTCCAACGTGTTTGTGTGCTCCGGTCCGGACGCAGGTTTGGGCCACGATCACGCCATCAGACAGGTGAGTCGCACGTTTACCTGCAGTGTTGTCTGTGAGGTGGTAAGCCGGTGACGTCCAGCGTAAACAACAACAGCTGATGTCACTGCTGATAACAACAGCAGTCATGTGGTCCATGTGAAGTCCTCACAGCTCAGAGCCGCTTTCTGCTCTAGCTGGATACCGTCAGGTGTTTATACGACTGTTGGGAGCTGCAGGTAATGCTCCTCCCATTCAGACCACCTGGCAGCGATGTTCTACTGGACCACTCATCAGGAACCTCCCCAGGCACTTTCCCTACATGTGGGGTTCCAGGGAAGCTTCCAGTCAGGAATTAGGTGGAATTCTTCACCAGTCCAGAGTGACTGTGACCATAACCCTTCATGTCCAGTGGTAGTTCTGGTGGCTCGACCCAAGACTAAGACTTCAACTCCTGTCTGTCTGGGTCTCCAGTGACTCCAGAACTCTGGATGTTCTCTGATGGAACCATTGTAACATGAATCTTTGTGGATTTTGGTTCTTTAATAGGTTTATTAAAGGTTTTCTGGAAACATGATGAAACCTGCTGGGTCATAAACATACAGACAAGAACCTGAATCATCAGTTTGATGATGTAGAAAGTTGTGTTACTCTAATGTTCTCAGCTTCATGGCGTCCTAACTTCTCCTGAGAGGTTCTGATTGTCTCCAGCTGCTGACTCCTCTGATCCAGTTCCAACAGAACCATCTGATCCACTCATTAGACTCAGACTCTACAGTGGGAAAATCTGAGGAGCTCAGCAAAGATCTGGAGAAGTTCTGTGGTCAGATGGAACCAACACTGAGCAGAAACATGTCTGGAGGAGAGAAGGTGAGGCCTTTGACCCCAAGAACACCAGACCTACCATCAAGCATGGAGGTGGCAGCATCATGCTCTGGTTCTGCTCTGCTGCCAGTGGACCTGGAGCTTTACACAAAGTAGATGGAACAATGAAGAAGGAGGATCACCTCCAGGTTGTTCAGGAAAACCTGAAACCATCAGCAGAAGGTTGATCTTGGACACAGCTGGATGATCCAACCAGACAATGAGCCCAAACACACATCAAAGTGGTGAAGAAATGGTTCCATCAGGCTGGAATGAAGGTTCTAGACTGGTCTCCCCAAAGTCCTGACTGGAACCATCCAGAACCTGTGGACTGATGAAGAAACAAGTCTGAGTCAGAAAGACGACAAGTTTAGTTGAACTGCAGCGGTTCTGTCCAGAGGAGTCAGAGATGGACCAGAAGCTGGTGGACGGAACCCAGAAGAACCCGACTGAGGAGGTCATGGACGTTAAACCAGATTTTAGTATTTCTGTTAATGATCCAGCAGGTGTCTTCATGTTTCCAGTAGATCTTCAATAAAACTATGAAAGAACCAAAATGCAGGATTGTGTTTTGTGTCAAAGATTCATGTTTCAGTGGTTCCATCAGAGAACATCCAAAGTTTTATGAGTCACTGGAGACATGATGAACATGGACGTTGCAGGTCGATGGAACCTTTAGTCCATGACTGTGTTTCTACGTTATTCATATGAAGGAATGTTTCAGACCAAGTCTGAAAGCTAGTGTTTGAATGTCGGTATGAACCTCTTTCTGACTGTTTTCCTCCATCGCTGTCTTCAGGCCGAGTCCATCTTCCAGAAGATTCTCCCAGAGGAGGACTTCTGTCCTCCAGCTCCAAACCCAGAGGACATCATCTATGATGGAGACAACGGCTCGTCCTCCACGGCAGGAGGAGAGGAGGAAGCACAGGAGGAAGCACAGGAGGAAGCACAGGAGGAAGCACAGGAGGAAGCACGGGAGGAAGCACAGGAGGAAGCACGGGAGGAACCACAGGAGGAGAAGGAGGTGTTGGAGGAGGCGAGTCCTCCAGCTGAGGAGTAACCTGCAGAAACAAAGTGTTGACGCGCAAACAGAAGCCAAAACCTCCTGCAGTGCTTTGTGGGTTCAAGTTGCCTTCGGTTCTTTTCTTATTTTTCTATGATTTGTTCTGTTTGTGTTTTATTTAAATATTGTGACTCATTAAAGCTTCAATATGAACAAACTGATCCGGTTTCCTCTGCTCTGATTGGCCGACGGGCCTCAAACATAACCAGGGTACACACAAACACACAAAGACACACAAAGACACGGCGGTCTCATTCCAGTGGTCTGATCTTTATGTTGGCCCTCGAGGCGACAGGCTGCTGTTACCCACAATCCTCTGGGGCCCAGCGTCATGATGGGAACTAAAGGGCAGACAGACTCACACAGAGTGAGGCCCAGTCCCAAACCTCCCCAACACACTTCCACTACCCAGTGTCGCTTCAAACCGAGTTATTCAGGTGGAGGGTATAAACAAGAAGCCAAACAACAGGACGCCCTCGCCACCTCACCGGAAACATCACCATGGCAACGGTCAGAGGCACTGCTTTGTTCTGTCCACAGACCCGATAATCAAATAATATCCAAAACCACAAGAATGACACGAGGTAAAGCCGA